TGCAGCGGTTTGGTTTTTCAGAAGTCTTTTTAGTTTAATATTTTATACAGTAGCATGTCAATGTGAACCATTTTTACAAAAATATTGAATATCTTTAGATTTTATTTCCTACAACGGGAATGTTTAGAATGTTTTGATATCTATAAGTTATATTTTTCCACTTTTCAATAGAAAGAAGTCCAGTTCCACGTTCCATATTTTTTTCTCTCTGCTAAATATGTGTCCACTGCTCAGAGCCTTGGAAAATCTGGCACCAGCCTCTGTGCGGAAGTACCTCAGCCAGGTATTTGTTTCTTCCTGGCCACTTGTCTCTGATTTCTCAGAGCCACGAGCTGTGTGTTCCTCCGAGAAAGAGAATATGAGTGGTTCATGTGAATGTGCCTGTGACCCAGAGAGTCTCCATAACTGTCGAAAAGCAGCAGAAACCTGGGGAATTTCCACAATCTCCCTCATATATCATCCACAGTGGTGTATGTATCAAAGTTGTTTGTGATAGCAAATGTGAATAACATTCTGATCTTCTGTTCTGGTCAAGTTGGTGGAATATACTGTGTAAAACGTCATAACAATATGGTCAAACATAATAAAATGAACTGATTCAGACTAAAGTAGAAGTAATACCTTAGGCCCAGAACTTGAGACCTAGCATCACCACCAGTGACAACAAAGCACTATTGGCCACTACATCACAATGTTCCACTCCTAGTGATGAGGACAGACATGACCAGTCATCACCCATAGGCTGATGGCCCCAGAACCTCCTCACTGGTGAGTAGCTGTGGGACTCTAAGCTGATCTAGAGGGTTCTGGAAGGAAGCATGGAGATGAGTTGACAAGTCTTCTCAGGGGTCAGGAACCCTCTGCTTCCCGACGACATGCTAAGGAACTGATTGTCAGCTGTACATGTGTCACAGACATGCATCTGGGCCATGGGCACCTCCTGAGCGGGTGGACTAGGGGTCCTTCCCCTGATACTAGCTTGTTGGGCCGGGGTTCCTGTGCTGCTGGGCCTCGCAGTGCTTGCTGAGGGCTACCAAGTGGGCGCCTGCCTTTCGTGTGCACTAAATCCTGTACTTCCCCTCTGCCTAGCAGTTGTGCGTGCTTGCATGTGTGCGTGCGTATGTGTATTTGTGTGTGTCTGTGTACTTTGGCAGGGAGGGCGTTTGGTCACACCTAGCACTGCTCAGGGCTTATTGTCAGTTCTGTGCTCAGAACTTTTTTATTTATTTTTATTTTTTTATTAGTGAAATGCTATGAGGTACAGTTGTAGACTTACAAACTTCGTGCTTGCGTTTCAGTTATACAATGATTGAGTACCCATTCCTCCATCAGTACTCATTCTCCACCACCAATGATCCCAGTGGCCCTCCCACCCCCCACCCCACCACCCCACCCCGCCCCGTCTTTGTGGCAGGGCATTCCCTTTTGCTCACTCTTTCCTTTAGGGTGTTGTAGTTTGCAATAGAGGTATTGAGTGGCCATCGTGTTCGGTTTATAGTCTACTTTCAGCATGCATCTCGCATCCCGAGCGAGTCCACCAAACATCCTTTACTTGGTATTCCATTCTCTAATCTGCGCTGCCTTTTCTCAGGGGTCACTCTTGGCTGTGCTCTAGGGCTGGTCCATGATCCAGGAATTGAACTGAGATCATTATTTCTTTCTGCCTTGGTACCAGTAGGTTTGGAGCTCAGTGACTAGAAATACCTTCTTATTTGTCTCCCCCCCCCCCCCCCAATGTCTTGCACAAATGTACTTGAATGCAGATTGAACGAATGAAATATATGATGAACAAAATTGAGGATGTCTTTAAAAATCACTTTGTAGTGTAAATTTACCACACTACTATGTATCTTAGCTGTACTGCAGAAATCTTTCTTTTTCTTTTTTCTTTTGACTTTTTGAGCCACACCCAGCAATGCTCAGGGTTGATTACACTTGGTTCTATACTCAGGAATTTCTCCTGGCAGTGCTTGGGGGACCCTATGAGGTGCTGAGGATCAAACCCTGGTCAGCTGTGTGCAAGGCAAATGCCCTCCCCGCTGTACTTGTTGCTCTACCCCTCCCTCCCTTCTGTTCCCCCTAATTTTCCTTTGGGACTTAGTCCTTTAGCCTAGAATAGTTGGAGCAGGATTACTGACACGTCTGGGAATAAGTTTTGGGAGCGCGGCCCCTCGGTGCTCCTTGAGGATGGGTAGGAAGGAGACTGTGTGACACCAGGGAGGCAGAGAAAAAGCACCAGCTGAGAGATCGTACGGAGCTCACAAGAAAGTGCACTGCTTTCATTTGGTGCAGTCGGAGATACAGGGACTGTGACGAGACATGAAATCGGAAAGGGGAGGGAGCGATATATTTCGAAGGCCGGTTTGTGCATTGCCAAGAAGACTTTGGTAAGAATTTCATCTTCAGATTTAAAAAAGGCTGGAGCAGTCCCAGAGGCCAGGAACAAATAGTCCTGTTGGAAGAGAACTGAGGTAGGAGAGAGGTCAGGTAAGGATATTGGCTGTCGTTTTACTAGAGAAGAGTTGCAGAGCAGTAGAAAATAATTCACGAAAACCTTCAGGCTGCCCATGACTCATCCTGCCCCGCATGAAGATGGGCAGAGGGTTGTGCCAGAGGGTGGGGAGAGGGCAAGGAAATGTAATTGCTCCATGAAAGAAGTAACCCTATCAATATAGCCAAACTGTGTCCTTTGGGATGTAGCGGAGACACAACGTGTTCTGGCTATCGGATTTACTATGGAGTGATACATGAAAGTGGGTGAACTTGGAGAGTCAGGGTGTGAAGAAGAGGAAGGCAGGGTGTTGGACAAAGGTGTGAATGCGAAGGTGAGCTGAACAGAAGGGACATGGATACGCAGCTAGGGTGTAGTGGGCTTTGCATTTTACGCTAGAACTCATTTCCTAGTGATGGGACTCTATCTTGCTTTTATACAATGGAAGGAAAGTATAGAAGTAAAACAAACGAGACTCTTCCTTCCTTCATGACACAGAATCACCATCAGCATTTCCGTGTATTTTTTTCCCCCAAATGTTTCTTGCCAGGCTTAGGGATTGAACCTGGGAAACCCTTGACTATTTTTTTTTAATTGTTAAATCATTGTGGCCATTTTTAATTGAAAAATAATGAATACTGCATCAGTGAGCATCTTGGCCGTATTTCTACTTAGAATGGGGCTCTAGAAATAACTGTAGTGGATCAAATTATCTTAAGGGTTCACCATGAAGTTTGCCAAATTCCGCTCCCAGCGGATGCTATTTAAATTCCTGCCTCTATTGTGTGGGCTTGACTGGAATTATACTCCTGACTAAGTAGTTTTTTAATGTTTACTGTTGGCTAATTTTATAAATGGTGTTTGTGCTTGTTTTAACAGTGACTTCCTTAACAAGGAGTTTGAGCGTGCTTCCCTATATTTATTGACTCTTTATGGTATTCCCACCCCCCTTCTCCTCGGGCATCATTGCCTTCTCCGTCTTTGAGAAACATTTCTCTGGGTTATATATCATCAGCAGTTCTGTCATACTTTGTTTCTTTGCTCTTCGATATTTACATTGTAGTGAATGCTAAGGGTAGGTATGATTGGAAAGTTCTTCTCTCCAGATACAGTGCATCACTGGTACTTCTATTCAGTTTGAAACATTATGTGCTATTCTTAATTTTTCTTAACGACTGGTGGTAGTGTCGATTTGGGGGCAGATCGGTGGCATGATTAGATTTGTGCTGCAGACAGCAGTGCGTTGGGCTCGGGCCTCTGGGTGGTCGAGATGGGGGCCCATGAAACTTACTTAGCAGAGCCAATCTGAGTGCGGGGATCGTGGTGATTGGGGTAGACTGATTCGAGACTGAGCATCCACAGGTGCAGGGGGTTCGGTGAGAGGGTGGAGGTCAGGACATTAGATATACAAAATCGGGACATCTAAGTGGGAAGCCTTTAGAAACAGGATTGAGGTGACTTCAGAAGGCCGATCTGGTGGACGGTGGAAAATCAGCACCTCACCTAGGAAGGGAAAACCAGTTTCCAGGGCAGCAGGTGGAAGATCGAGGGGGATGAGAATGAAAAGGCCTCCGAGGAAGGCGTTCTCTGGGAGACTGGGAGACGTGGCGTGTTAGAGTTTCTCATAGTTTGGGTTTGCCTCTTTGCTCCTTTTGCCCTCCTCTCTCCCCAGCAAAATCAATGTCAGATACTGCAAAGAGATTAAGGGAGAGAGGGACTGAAGAGTTTCCATTGGATTCCCTCAACTCTTTTCAATAAATTTCACTACAAGGGCAGCGGAGGGAGAGACATAGCAGAGGGAGGTTGGTCAAAGGCTAATACTCCCCCGTCTCAATGAATCTAAATAGATTGGAACGTGTTCTTTGTTGAGGGAACAGACGGTGGCCAGGGGAGGGTTGAAAGTAAAGTCAAAAAAGGAGGGATCTATGGAGCAGGAATTTTAAAGGCTGAATAGCTGTGATAAATGAGTTGTTTTATCAGGTGAAACCAGTAGTTGCCTCTCAGAAGTAGAATTTGCATATCAATGACTGAGATACTTTTTAATGTGTCCTTTGAGTAATAAGACCTCTTATGTCTTGCTTTGGACATATTAATGTGCAACTTTCTCATTGTTCTGGCTGCAGAACATTGTTCAAATTAAGTTTCTTTAATACGTTGCTCAATGGCAAAGTTGGTGTTCCACTTTTTTCCTTTTTTTGGGTGGGGGGGGTCACACCTGGCGATGCAAGGGGTTACTCCTGGCTCTGCACCCAGGAGTTACTCCTGGCGTTGCTCAGGGGACCATATGGGATGCTGGGAATTGAACCCAGGTCGGCCGTGTGCAAGGCAAACGCCCTACCTGCTGTGCTATCTCTCCAGCCCCAGTGTTCCACTTTTAATGCTGTATATCCCCCCAAAAGATAATGTCATAAGTATTTGAATTTCTTGGACTACTTATTGCTTACTAATGAATACATAAAACTATACTTCACTTTTCATTGTGACCGTCTTTTAAACATATCCATTGCAGGGAAATTTACCTAAATATTCTCATAACTCCCTGATGGTTCAAGCAATAAAGACCAACCTCACAGACCCGGACATCCACGTGCTGTTCTTCGATGTGGAGGCCTTGATCATTCAACTCCTGACCGAAGAAGCCTCGAGGCCGAACACGGCGCTCATTTCCCCCGAGAACCTGCAGAAAGCGTCCGGCAGCGCGGACAAAGGGGGCTCCTTCCTCACGGGCAAGCGCGCGGCGGTGATCTTCCAGCAGGTGAAGGAGACCATCAAAGAGAACATCAAGGAGCACCTGCTGGATGACGAGGACGAGGACGAGGAGCTGCAGCGGCAGAGGCGCGAGGAGAGCGACCCCGAGTACCGGGCCAGCAAGTCGAAGCCACTGACCCTGCTGGAGTACAACCTGACCATGGACACCGCCAAGCTCTTCATGTCCTGCCTTCACGCCTGGGGCCTCAATGCTGTCCTGGACGACGTGTGTCTCGAGCGGCTGGGCATGCTGAAGCCCCACTGCACCGTGTCCTTCGGGCTCCTGTCCCGGGGGGGCCACATGTCGCTGATGCTCCCAGGCCACAACCAGGCGGCTCTCAGACTGTCCTCAGAGGGCGTCGGGAAGGGGACGTACGGAGTGTCCCGCGCCGTCACCACCCAGCACCTCCTGTCCATCATCTCTCTGGCCAATACCTTAATGAGCATGACCAATGCCACTTTCATTGGCGACCACATGAAGAAGGGCCCCACCAGGTGTGACCGGGACGCTGATTTTACTCTTTGGTTTTAGGGAACAGTCCTGTTTATGTTTGGCGTTGCATGTTATTTTATTTTTCCCTTCAGCTTCACAGTCTCAATTTATTTTCTGTGTTACCTAGTTCCCCTGTAAATTTTATGACACAGTCCGCATGTTTTAAGCATGAGAACTATAGTGTTTGTTTTTTTTAATTGTTTTTTAATTTTGCTTTGCTTTTTTTGTTGATGTTGTTCGTTTGTTTCTTTTTTGGACTGCATGAGGCAATGCTTAGGGGTCATTCCTGGCTCTGCAGTCAGGAAATAGTCCTGCTGGTGCTCAGGGGACCTTATGGGGTGCTGGGGATTGAAGCTGGTTGGCTACCTACAAGGAAAAGTGCCCTATCCGCTGTACGATCAGTCCAGCCCCTAGAACTATGCAAAGGTGGTGATAAAGATACTTTTAGTAGCTATTAAAAAATAATTTCGAATGAGTGCCTAGGTCACAGTTCAGCTTTAATAGATGAGTTATAGATTAGGTCTTTTGTGAATATTGTCTTAATATTTAGATCTGTTTACATCTGCGCTATCATCCCATTCAAGATGATTATTTGGTTAAATGTTTCTCATTATGACTTACATAATGAAAGATAGATGTTCAGTCATTGACTTTAGAATTTGGTGAGAATAGCCAGAATTTTTTCACTGGGAAAAGAGAAAAGAATTTTTTAAGTGCAGAAGAGTAGGACTGATAGATTTCTGGAATATGTAACCTGAATTTGCCTTCTTTTTTTCTAGAAATCAATGAGGACGACTTTTGAAACTGTGTCTTTATTATACAGAGTTGAGAGTTGACGATTTTAAGACTTTTTTTTTAAATTCACAAATATCTAAGTAGCTCTTACCTTGTCTCTGGCTCTGTTGAATGCTCCTCCAGATGTTGTCGCATTGATTCTTTTCATTCATAAGGAGCTACTTTTATTTTCTCTTTATTTCATTTAAGAAATGTTCTGAGATGCGGAGAGGTGATGTTACTTGTCCAGGGACAACACCCAGTAAGTGGTCGAGCCAGATTCCAAATGCAGGCCATTTGCCTCTCGTGTCCAAGAATTCTTGGCGCTGGACAGACAGGCCAGTGGGTAAGGCACTTGCCTTGCAAGTGGCCAGCCTGGGGTTGATTCCTGGCACTACGTATGATCCTCCCTATCCTGCTAGGAGTGATCCCTGAGCACAGAGCCAAGAGCAAGCTCTGAGCACTGCTGGGTGTGCCCCCAAACCTAACCCCCAAAACAATTCTTAGTGCCGATTGACTTTTTCAGATCTGGGGGCTGCATGCTTTTCAACTTTGTTTAGTGTTTTGCAGAATCACTTGGGTCAGTGGGACGGGGTGGGTAGGTTGATAATTGAAAACTGGAGGGCACATTTAAAACAATTTCTCTGTCACTGGTTGCGCACTAAAGGGCCCGTACATGTTTCTTAAAAATGCTTTAAAGTAAGACATCCTAGATGTAAACTTTTAACTGGCTGTTTGAAATTGAAAGTAGGTGCAAAACAAAATCTTTTTTAGAATATTGAAATGATCAGGTTCTCTGTGTTGGTTTTGAATTCCATTAAGAGCTAGAAAGTTCACTATTTTAAGTGACTCCAGAGACTTGGAAACATGAATGTTTATATACGTGCGTTTTTTCCCCCTTTCTTTTAAGGCCACCTAGACCAAGCACCCCAGACCTATCTAAGGGAAAGGGTTCCCCGTCAACTTCCAGTAACGTGGTGCAAGGACAGATTAAACAAGGTAAATTAGACCTTTTTCAATAGAGTGACCTAGAGCGTAAACAGTATTCAAGCCAATGGTTACAGCGACGGTGGATTCTCGCGCTTGTTGGCAGGGGTGCTGTGTTAATATGGTAGGCTCATAACAGTAAGACACGTAATAATACTAATGTTAAGTCACTAATAATACTGTTGTAGATCTTTATACCTCAACTTAGAAGTACATAGTTTAGATTTTAATATGTTATTTTGTTAGTCACTAATGAATATTTCAGTTCTTCCCTCTTGAGAGTATACTAACACAAAGTTTGAAAAGTAAAGTAGGAATGTTGGAATATGCCTACGTATATCCTTTTTGGGAAATGCTTTCTCTGCCAGATCCCACGACTTTAAGGAAATATTTTCTTTAAAAAATTTTTTTTTAATTAAAATTACATTGGTTTAAAATTGTTTACAAATTTCAGGTGTGCATGTTTGTATAGCAACATCTCTATATGATATACTATATTCATTTAAAAGTCAAATTCCATCCATCACGTTGCTGCTGATTTTTGCCTTTGTTTTCCCCTTTCCTTCTGATAACCACTTATTTGTTCTTATGGTCTAAATGTTTATTTTTAATTATATTTAGTTCATTTATTTGTTGTCAGTTTTTTAAATGAACCTGTGTGTGAAATCATATGGTGGTGCTTTCCTCCATATGACATATTTCACTAGCATAATACCATATCCGTCCCTCTTGCTGCCAATGGCAGGATTTAACTTTATTTTTTTCTTCTGTAGCTGAGTAATGTTTCTGTGTGTGTGTGTGTGTGTGTGTGTGTGTGTGTGTGTGTAATCTCACATTTTCTTTATCTAGTTGCACTTCAGTTGTTTCCATCTCTTAGCAGTTCTAAATAATGCTGGGATGGTTGTGTATGCCTCAATCTCTGTTGTTTGGTGCTTTTTCATTCCTTGGGTAATGTCCAGAAGCAGGACAACTGGACAGAATGAAGTCTTACTGACGTGAACTTTCAGCTCCAGCAGCTGAGAGGACATAGCTAGTGTCTAATCATAGCATTTGTTTGTCTTAGATTGTTAAAAGGGACAAAAGTTGCTGTATTCTCTCTATAAATATGGATAGTTTAAAACCCTATTCGCTAAAAAGATTGTTTTATTTTGTGTCATACCTAGTGATGCCCCGGATTTATATTGGCTCTCTGCCCAAAGATTACTCCTGGCAGTGCTCAGGGGACCATATGTGGTGCCAGTATATTGATTGTACCACAAGTTAAATAACAGGGCCTCCAAGTTTATATATACAATTTTTCCAGGACAAATGACTATTACTTTCAGGAACCTGCTATGCTTTAAAAATTTATAATTTTTTGTATTGTAGTACATTCTACTTTTCTCAAGTTATTTTCATTTAATGTACCTAAAAATTCTTAGAATGCATTTTAATCAAATTAAAACATTTTATTAAAGAACCATGATTTACAAGTTTTACTGATAGTTGAGATTTAGACATATAATATTCTAACACCAATCTTACCACCTGTGTTCCCAAGTTCCCTCCCAGCCCCCCCCAAGTCCCGCAGCTTGTTTCCTTGACAAGTATTAATATGTACTTTTAGTTTGATACTTATTTTAACCAACTTGCCCTCCTCCTTCCCTCCCTCCCTCCCTCCCTCCCTCCCTCCCTCCCTTCCTGCTTCTCTCCCTCCCTTCCCTCTCCCAGCAGTGCTAGGGGGCTACTCCTGTCTCTGCCCTCAGGGGTCTCTCCCTGCAGTGTTTCAGGGCCATGCAGTACCAGGCATCAAACCTAGGCCTCCCACATGCAAAGCATGTGCCCAGCTGTCATGCTATCTCTCTGGTTCTTGTTCAGTGTTTTTTGAAGCACTCTTGGTACGTGCATACATCTTAAGAATGTTATTTCTTGATTATTTCAGTCATGTTATTATAAAATTGGGGCTGGAGCGATAGCACTGCAGGTAGGGCGTTTTGCCTTACACGTGGCCAACCGGGGTTTGATTCCTCTGTCCCTCTTGGAGAGGCCGGCAAGCTACCAAGAGTATCCTGCCTGCACGGCAGAGCCTGGCAAGCTCCCCATGGTGTATTCAATATGCCAAAAACAGTAACAACAAGTCTTACAATGGAGACGTTACTGGTGCCTGCTCGAGCAAATCGGTGAACAACAGGAGGACAGTGTTACAGTGCTATTGTAAAATTACCTCTTTATTCTTGCTAATATTCTTTGATTTTATTTATTTATTTTTCCAATTTAATTTTAAAATTTCATTTTCATATCGTTGTTCACATTAATTGGTTACATTCAATATTTCAACACCAATCCACCACCATTATACCTTCCCACTGCCATTTTCGAATTTTCCCACCACCATTCAAGCCTGCCTGCCACAGGCAGATGCTCGATAATTTATTTTCTATTGCTTATTATGAATATCAATAGAGGTCACGTGGCTGCAAAAGCGGCTGTGTGTTCCTGGATATTCTTTGCTTTTGATCCCAGTTGGATTATAATAATGCAGTCAGTGATATAGCAGATTAGGTCATCTCTTTTCCCATTTTTAAAAAATCTCACCTATTTGGTCTTTATGTTTAGAAAAATTTTGGTAGACAATTTTATCTTTCTAATTATTTGTATTTTATTTTAATTGTTGGTATGGTTAGGTTTGGTCTATCATCCTGCTTTCTTTTTGTTACTTGCTTCTTATTTCCCTTTTCCCGTTATGTTAGTTGAATTTTTTTTCTTGTCACACCCAGTTATGCTCAGGACTCACTCTGTTGGGACTCTGGAGACCATATAGGATGTGGGGATAGAACCCGGGTTGGCCATGTGCAAGGCAAACACCCTAGCCACGGAACCATAGCTCTAGTCCCATAATACTTTTGTGATTATATTTTAATCTCCTTTTTTGATGTAGAAGCTAATATTCCCCTGTAGTTTAGAGTTTATAATCTACTTCTTCAGCTTACCGTTTACCATCTATACCTTTGATATAAAAACCTTGTTATAATTAAATTTTCTGATTCCTAGCTTTTGTGCTATTATACCATGCATTTTCCATTAACTTAATGTTACAAACCCCACAAATCATTGCTACCACTTGCGTTTCATATACCCAGTCTAATTTTATTTAATTTTTTGTTGTGTTTTGTTTTGTGGCCACACTCGGCTCTCCTCAGGGGTTACTCCTGGCTCTGTGCTGAGGATCACTCCTGATGGTATCTTGGGGACCATGTAGGGTGCCTGGGATTGAACCCATATCGACTGTGTGCAAGACTAATGCCCTGTCCTCTCTACTATCACTTCGACTCCATCAGTTTAATTTTAAAGAAATACGAATGATTAGGAAAAAAATACATATGTATATATGTTTCTTGACTCTAGTTCTTTAAAATATAGGTTATGGTTGAATAACCTAGTTGGATATAGGTTACAACTGCTTCACCATCTTTATTTGATAATTCTGAGATCAATTAGTTTAGTTTATTTTTTTGGGGGGGGGGGGGGTTGGAGGGCACTCCTGGCAGTGCTCTGGGCATTACTCCTGGCTCTGCACTCAGAAATTACTCCTGGCAGTGCTCAGGGCACCATATGTGATATCAGAGATGTTACCCAGGTCAGCCGCATGCATCACCTTACCTAGTGTACTATCACTCCGGTCCCCAAACATCAGTTAATTTTGTATTTTTTTTTTCCTCTTCCATCCCCCATTATGGTCTGTGTGTTCTTGCTCCTGCATGCATGCCAGTGATATTTGATTAGGTGTTAAAGACTTGAATTTTGCCTGGTTTCCAGATGAGACTAAGGGTTTTGGGCCAGAGATCTTGGGAGTGGAGAGGCTCTTGCCTTTCACGTGGCGGGCCCTGCTTCCCACCCGGAACCACATTTCCTTGAGCTCCTCCCCACCCAGAACCTCCTAGCCACCAGGTATGACCCATCACTACCTGCTTCCCCGGCCCCCAAGGGTTAAGACGGACAGTCCAGGAGGGAAGGTGCTCGCATGGGCTGTAGTTCGTGCAGGGGTGTTTGATCATTGGCATTGCATATGCTTCCCTGAGTACTCTGAGGGGGGTGACGCTGAGCACAGAACCAGGAGTATGTCCTGAGCACGGCTGAGTCTGACCCACCCCCGCTCCAATCTAAAACAAAACCCCAGATTTTCATTATCAAGCCTGCTTTCTATTTAAATATTGAAATTAGATTATCATGTAATTATTTCTTTAGCAAATGTTGGTTAAGCACTTTTCTCTTGGAGCAGCACTTTTGCCCAGGTGATCAGGAAGTAGTGGCCCAACAAGCTCGCCACATGCTTTCAGGGTGGTGGCCCTGAGTCCCATCCCTGGCTCTTCCTGGTCACTTGTGCATGGCTGATAGTCCCTCATCGCTACTGGGCCATTATTGCAGGAGTGGCCCCTTGGTGGACACTGCCCCATGCTTTCTGAAAACCCCGAGTGTTACCATGACTAGTCTGGTGTATACTCAGTGGTTTATCGATATACAGTAAGTAGTAATGCATTCACATAACCCCTCTAGGTAAGAATGGGCAAGCGATTCCTAAAGGGACTTAAATTCTCTGCTTACAATTGTTGCATATTCTTGACTCTGTACTCTTTCCTGTTCCTGACTCCCAGTGTGATGCACAGTAATTCACAACCTGTTTCATACGTTGGATTGCAGACACAGATATGCTCCCTTTTGGTAAACTGTGCCATATATTGACTAGTTTCTCTTTTACCCCTTTTTCTTTTTCTTTTCTTTTCTTTTTTTCCTTTTTTTTTTTTTTTGCAATGCTCAGGGGTTTACTCCTGGCTTTGCACTCAGGAATTAATCCTGCTGGGGCTTGGGAACTATATGGGATGCTGGGGATCAAACCCAGGTCATCTGCATACCAGGCAAGCACCCTACCGCTGTGGCATTTCTCCAACCCCTATACTGGCTAGCCTTATTGCATTGCGAGATTATATAGAATAGAGACTTTAACAGGGGTATAGGACCTCTCCTAGATACTTGGGCCTGACAATAAAGTAGCTATTAATAATATCACTAATGAAATTTTCCATAAGCAGCATCAGGGTAGTTTATATCAGAAAGTAATTTTCTCCCAAGAGTTTTCCTTTTTTTCCGGACAGTGAACTTCTTAATCTTGTATTTGCCAGTGATTAACATTACTGATGGTCACATACTCCTTGGTAGAAGTAGTACTTATTAAGTATTTGATTATGGAACTTCTAAAACATCATACTTGATAAAGGGATTAGAGATGTGGAGCACCCACACTGTTCTTCATGATCATACAGTTCCGAGTCTGCCCTGGGATCCAGGCGTTGCTACATTCTGACATACTGTTTGTCCTTAGAGAGCAAGCCTGGGGCTTCATACTTACAAAGTATATACTTTGACACTGAGCTACATTCCTCATTGTCACTGTGCTTCTCTGGATCTACCCAGTCATCTCACAGCATGAGTTCTGTGCTCCATGTCTCCAGTGTTTTTCTTGATTTTTGACAAATTATTATTTTGATAATAATTTGTTGGAGTTGTGTCTTTAGAATAGAGGGTGTGTGTGTGTGTGGGGGGGAATATTCTCCTTGAAGACTGAAGTTTACGTCACATCATTTACAATTATTTTTCAGAAATAGATTTAATTTAGGTTGTCTAAATTTAGAAGAAATAGTGACTGCTAAATTATCTCAGGGATAATTTATATAAATTAACCTGCAATTTCTTGCAAGTCCTGTCCGGGGTTTGTAGAAAAAACTTGGGAGTGCATACATCAGGGGATAGGTCTAAAAATATGTTGATTTTTTTTTTTCTTTTTGGGTCACACCGGGCAATGCTCAGGGGTTACTACTGGCACTCAGGAATTACTCCTGGCGGTGCTTGGGGGACCATATGAGATGCTCGGAATCGAACCCTGGTCAGCCGCGTGCAAGGCAGACGTCCTATCCACTGTGCTGTTGCTCCAGCCCCAAATATGTTAAATTTTGTATGAAGTCATGACCCTCAAATTAAATAAGCTTTTAACCCTTAAATGAAATTGTTTTTAAAATATGTTTACACCAATACTCAGTACATAGTAGGCAGGGATTAAGTGTTTATTAAACCAAATAGAACATTTTAATAGTTTTCACACATCTAGCGAGTGTTTGTGTGTTACAACTCTTTCACTGGAGTGAACTCTCTCCCTGTGGTTTTTTGATCTTCGTGTATATATGTAGAATGTAATTAATATGGAAGACCTTTAGAGAGATGGCTTTGATTATTTATTTTTTGACTTGAGTAAGGTAAAAAATTATCATAATATCTAAACTTTTTCCAATTCTGGTGTCATCCACTGGTATTCTGGTGGCTAAGCACTACTGTTGTTAGTTTTCACCATCACCGCTGCTCTGTTTTACTTTGCTGTGTGTCTATGTATTAGAATGTTATCTTGGTTCTTAATTTAGTCAGCTTTATTTTTTTTATCCTTCCCATTGTCTGGAACTTATTCTCTAATGATTTTGTCCATTCATATTTTTAATGTACAGTGTTTTAAGGATATCCTCCTCTCCCCTTAAAACATTTGATAAATTTATCCTAATGCTTGTTGTTGATTTAAAAAAACTATTAGACTATTTATACACCAATACCTCCTGTATGACTACACCAAAGGTGGTCATATTTAGGAGGTGTAGGAAATGCTGGTATCATACTGAGCTCTCTATAGTAGCCCAGAGACTTCGTGCGAGATGCCTTTTTATTAAGTATCTACCAGATTTCTAATTTTCATTGCTATTCCCATCTTTTACTCCTTTTATTACTCCCATCCTTGTGGTTTTATAATTATCATATAATCCCTTAGGTAAACAGATTCATCATTAAATAATTGAATTATTCTTATTACTTTTTTTGCTTAAACTTTGAAGAGATTCATCATTAAATAATTTAATTATTATTACTGTTTTGGGTGAAGCTTTGAATAAAACTACTCTAAGCATTACATTTGGTATTTTGTAGTTTCAAGACTTCCTTCTCTTTTAATTTTCTGCAAATTGTAATGAAAGGGCTCTGTGTATGCATGAGGCTTACGCCAATATTGGAAAAAAACACTGCCAAAATATGTTCTGTGTGTTATGTGTGTGTATATACTGTATATACATATTATACACATGATTTTACACAAATATGAAAATTTTTAATAACATGATGATAGGCAGGGGAAAATGGAGTTTAGAACAGATTCTAAATGAAAGAAACCAAGGATTGTCATATGAATACTTAAGCATATGCCATTTAAAGTTGAATTAAAGTACACATGTGTTATGTATGACATTGCACACATTCCTTTAACTTCATTTACCTTTTCATATGAGACTAAGCAGTTGACAAGACTCTACAATATTATGCAAAGATCTTCCCCAGGTAAAAGAATAAAATTCGGGTCCATCTTGCCACCATTGGGAAGCTGTGCAGAGATTCTTTTGCTCCGTGTTTCACTAATCCTTATTGATGGTCGACACAGCAGCTTTTCGGTTTTATCAGAAAGCAAATGCTTGCTTCTCTTTCAAGTAGTAAATATTGGGTGTTTTACTAAGAAAAGTGCCGCTCACAATTTCTTTAGATTTATTAATCATCTAAATATTCAGCTTTTTATTTTGGAATTGCTACTTTTTTCTTCAAATTTCTATTGATGATTTTTTTCTATCTCTTGACAATTAAAAAATATTCATGAAGTTTAATTTCATTAATCTCAGTGACTTATGAAAGCCTTAGATAGAGCAATGTTAGGTATTAGGCAGTCTGAGGAAAGTATATTTCATTGGTAAGGCAGACAATTTTAAAGCATAATCCTTTTCTTTGATCTCTATTATAGTATGTTTATTTTTAATGGACAGGTTTTATTATTTTAAATGAATTTTTATACATGCAGTGTTGCTTGCAGCTCCAAAAATGTAAAACTCAGAAACTATTAATTTGTTGAATAAAGTTACATATATTGAATGTTACTCTAGTAAGATATACTTATTCTCGCAGTTTCGCTTGCAGCATTTCTAGCTTCCTTTTGATTTGCATCTTAGAGAAAATATAGTTCATCCCACTGCTTCTTTGATGTAGCAAGGGTAGTAATGACTCACTCCTAAACTTTTTTTTAGTTCCTAAATTTGTTTGTTTTAAAAAGTGAAAATTAAAGAAAAATCCCAACTGTTGGGAACCTCCAGAGGAACTTTATCAACAGTCTTGGTGGATGGAAACTTAAACCTGAAAATTTACTCCTTGCCACCAAGAATTATTCATTTTTTGTTTAATCCATAATAACTTTATAATTAAAGTTGATAAAAAGAAAAATAAAGTGATTCAATGGGATATGCACATATGTATTTGGAAATTCTTTGCATGATTACAACATAATAATTTTTAGATCTTATGAAATATATAGGTAATCAATTCATTTCACAGGCTCAACAGAAAATAGTTATAATTTTATAAGACATTAACTAAAATGCAGGTCTCATAACAAAAAAGTTTTATTATTTCTCAGATGAAACTTTCAGGGTACACAAGATGTTCTTCTGAGATTGTAAAGAGCTGGATTTTTTTGTGCATGTATTAATATACTTCTTTTAGTTCTTCTGTTTACCCCACACGTGCCTGATTGACATTATGATGCATTCGTGTGGAAATTATGAAAAGTTGTTTTCATGCAGCTGTCCTGTAGTTACAAAAGAACTTCACTGCATGAAAAGCAAACATATCATTCAGAGGACAATGCTTAATCTGTTCAGGAGCCCAAACCTATTGCTGTTCAATGACAGAAGAAAGGAGAGGGATTAATTTGAAGATGCTTGTGCATGACATATGGTAATTTCTCCATAGGAAGGAAGTGTCAAATTGTGACCTCTAAATCTTAACGTTGACCTCCAGTTGTAGAATGTCTGCGCCATACGGTCCTTTTGCCTTTTCATATGATAATTTAAACTGAAACATTTTCTGCTAACATAACTTATTTGGGGGGGTTGGGTTGCATCTATTATATAAGGATTATAATAGTCACAGTTATTGTTTTTTAGAATATAAGGCATTTGTGGCATTGCTATACTTTTCTAACTCTATAGTTAGGAGAATTTAGTATACATAGTTCTTACAAGCTTATATATTTTCATTGAAGTTTTATAAAATGAATGTGTTCCTTGAGACGATCTTGATGGATCTTGACTTGACATATTAAAAGGTAATTTTCACATGATATTAGGAAATAGGTTCTGAGGGCAACTGATAAGATGAAGGCCACGTAACGTTTTCATCATGGGCCGCATTTATAATTATATTAAAGTTTTGTTAATTTTGACTGTGATTTTTTAAATTGTAGACTTAGTTGTTTTAGAACTGTTGTTCATGTTAGTGGCCGCATCATTCAACTATGAGTGAAATAGAGCTTGGTGATCAGAGGAACATGAACTACACGGTGATCACAATTCAATAAAGTCTATCATTTCGTTGCTGTAATCTTCAATGATCCACGCCTTTTGAGTAAAACATCATTTTTCAGTTCTGCATTTATTATGCTTTGCCAACTTTGTTTTTCATTCTTCACTAATACTGAGCTTTTTTTCAGAAACTGCTGTACCTCAGTTCTCTCCTCTTTATTTCTTCTCTTTTCCTCTGCAAGTTGCCGCACCTGTCGTTTCTGCTCGGTCTGACGCTGGTCCCTCTGGCCCCGACCCCGTTCCTACTCCTGCCTTACATTCCTGTTTCTTAGTAAATGAAGGTATTCTCTCTCTACTTCCTAACGACTTTCCTCGGCCTGTGCTTGATTCTAATATGACATGTTCTTTTGACTCTATGTTACACACTCATCTGCTTTGTTATGGGTACGATCTGAAAGTTCTAGTATTCTAATGTTGTTTGCTAATGTCCGTGCCAGTGGCCAGTTATAATGGAGTCACGTTCCTCTTGGCTGGTTCAATTCATGGCTCTGGTCACCCAGAATGCAGTAAAGAAGTGCCAAGCGGCTAGCTTTTGATGTGAAGTGGGTATTAAAAGGGTGATTGGTTCTCATGCTGTTTGCCCTGTGATGTCTCTGGCTTTAGAACTAATGACTTCATTTTGCATGTGTCATTATGCTGTCATAGACACACTCTGATCTCCGTGCATACTGTGTGTCTTGGTTTGAGGGGAGGTGAGGGGTTTCTTGGTCTCCCTTCTCATTTGGAAAGTCTTCTCATGGAGACTTAGCACCAACCGTTACAGACCGGTAAGCATTCACTTCTGTGCCTCCCCTATTTCTGGCCAAGGCAAAATACTGTCCTTTCTGTTTGGGGAATGTAATGGGCTCCCCAGTTATTTCTGAGGAGCCTCACTCATGGGATGTATTTTCTGGAGCCCTGGAACCATGAGTGAAGCCCATGACTTTGATTCCTCCTGGCCATCTGGGATGACTTCTGCAGGGGAGCCCCAGGGCACCCCTGAGCTCTCCAGCCTCCAGGAGGTGGGAGGAGGCTAAAAAACAAAACAGAACTCAAATGTAACCCAGAATAATATGGGCTTTTTTTTCTTCCCTAAAAAACAGTATTTCTGTTCAAAGAAAGGGGGGAAACACGGCACAACACCTGTACGTGCTGAGTTTGTGGTCTCAGTTCCAATACTTTGGCAGGGGAAGCAGGGACGGGAAGGAGGACTAGCCTCCGCTTAGGCTTCCGTTTTTTAGACCTACTGGTATGTGAAAACTGGAGTTTAGCTCAGATCCTTAGGGTTGTATTGGATAAGCTATTGTGAAAGATAACAATTTGCTAACTCAAGAATAAATCATTAGACTGGGCCTTGGAGAGAAACATTGCAGAAAAAATTTCACTCATAAGTGCTTTCCTCTGACATCAAAACAAAGCACTTGAAGTAGTTACTAGGTGATTATGCATACAGGTGCATATATATGTGTGTATACATATATATACATTGTAGTTATTTATTACAGACAATGGATTATCTTGAATGTCTGCTAATCAACTTAATAAACATAATTGTGTATTCTGTGATTATATATTCAGAATTTCCTCCCCGAGGGATGAATCTCTAGGTGACTTGCCTGTCACTTACCCTCTTTTTAAATACTGTCAGTAATGATTTCGAGTTTGATGGTCAGGGTTTTACTCCTGTTTTAGAGGAATACATTTGGATTATTCCCACACAGTGATTTTCTAAAATTCTGTCATCACAGATAAGCCACCTTATAAATATGAGAGTAGACTAGTTTTGTATACATTTTAATTGTTATCCTTAGTAGCTATTGGTAGTTATTGTGGCTTAATAGTGGTTCATGCATGATTTGGGAGGAATGAGACCTTTATTATACATGTATTAAAAGTGATTATTTGAGACTGTCGAATGCTAGTACTTGGAAATACTGCAGTTGTTTATATTGTTGCTTTCTTTCATAGATCCAAGTTCCATATTGTAGATTAGAATTGAATGTCATGAGAAATAAGATCTGTTCCCGTGGATTAGAGTTGGCAGTGGTTAAGATCTTGTAACTTTTGGGTGGTCAGGTTTTTATTTCGGAGAATATCTGAATTCATTTTTTTCCCTTGAAATTGGTTTTGAATTACTATTTTTGGTTATTGTGGTTAAATATCTGATTCATCGTGTAAGAAATGTGATCAATAAGTCCCTTAATTAAAGGCCGTGTGAGAGAGAGGGAAGGACGTTTGTGTCACCCTGTGTGATCATAGCCCAATGATCATCAGGTCGTAGGTGACAGGCACCTGTCTTTGGTGGTGAGTGACTGTCCCCTGAAATAGAAGTGGTTGGAAGCCTGTCACTCTGGTACATGCCTCTTTATATTCTGTCCCACCCCCTTCTACGAGTTTCATTTCAGAGGGACAGTTTGGAGATGTGTTTCCCCCGTAGAATCAACATCACCCTTCATTGGAAATTTATTGTCATTTTGAAGTCTTGAGGATTTGTAGCCTGAAGTTTGGGCGGTTTTCTGGTTTTGTGTTTTTGCCTGAAGGTATATGAGTTTAGAGATGAGCTACATTTGGGATGATGTCTTGTGAAAAAATAGCTCACGACAACTGGAGGTCCTTTCTAAAGTAACTCAGCAGATGTGGCGTTTTCATTTGTTTGGGGGAGACCTGCGTAAGAAAACGGGGCTGCATTCGAGACTGCACCAGATTTAACGGGCCTGCAACCTCTTCTGTTTGGACAGGCTGGAGTCAGCTGGCTGCCATGCACTGTGTCATGCTGCCCGACCTGCTGGGACTGGACAGGTTCCGACCCCCACTTCTGGAGATGCTGGCCCGGAGATGGCAGGACCGCTGCTTGGAGGTAATGGGGGTACTGGGTGGAGGGCAAAGTGTCTTCAAAAGGCATAGGAGAGAGTGAATCTGAAACAGAATGGTTAATGTTTATTTACTGTATCTTTGTGTGTGTATTGGGGGGAGGGTGCATGTATGGTGCTGCTCAGGGATGCCTTGTGGCTCTGTGCTCTGGGCTTTCTCCTTGAGGCTCTCCGTGCATCATAGGTGGTGCCCAGAATCAAAACAGGGTTGGCCACATGCAAGGCAAGTAACTTCTTAATCTCTGTACAGCCCTGTTGATTGAGCATATGCTGTCACCTTTTTATTTTGTGACTTCCATGTTTTTTTCTTTTTTCAGTCACAATTACTGTTTACTTGCTTATGCACTTTTTGAAAAGGTCGTAAGTCCTTTTTTTTTTTTATTTCCTTTTTGGGTCACACCCAGAGATGCCCAGGGTTTACTCCTTGGCTTTGCACTCAGGAATCACTCCTGGCAGTACTCTTGGGGACCATATGGGATGCTGGAAATTAAACCTGGGTCGGCTGCGTGCAAGGCAAACACCCTACCCGCTGTGCTATCGCTCCAGCCCCAAGTTCATAAGTCTTTAATAAAAAGTTTTCTATGTTCTTTGAAGCCATTTCCTGTTTTTTTTTTTTTGTGTGTGGGGGGGCTCCCAAATTATGCTTAGGAGGCCTGGGGCCCCTCCCAGTGAATCTCAGCCAACTGGACAGGAAGTTCCATGCAAAAGCCTGAGGATTGAGAGACTGGGAGTACCAGCGACAAGCTGCAGGTGCTGGGGCCCACCAGGCTGAATCTGGTGGTACCCATGTGATACGTGATGTTCAGGATCAAATGGGGGCCGGTCACCTGCGAGGCTTGCGTCCTGCCTGCGCCTTGAGCTCCTTGTAACCTGTTTCAGTAAGACTGTCTACACATGCACTTAGAGCTCCCCCCCCCCCCCTCTCCTCCACCCAGTCGCTCACTCAGGCATGATCATATTCTAAGAGAATAGCAGTGGCACCATAGAAGGTACCTTGCTGCTGAAGAAAGGAGAAGAACTTCGAAATCTTCAGAAAGGGCCTCAGTTATCAGTTTTGCTAATTATTAACTTAATGACTCTAGGCTCATTTGTAAAGTGGGCATAGTAATACTTTCCTCATGGGATCGCTGTCAGATTCAACTAAGATAATGCAAGGAAAGCAGTAAGTAGAGAGTGTGACAGAGGCTAGGAGTTCAATAAATGGTGGCTATTCTATTGTGTTAATGGACTTAGGCTATATTAGATATTGCTTGGAATATAATATTACCAGGGACTGGATATGTTTTGCAGAGATTTTCCACTTAAGGCATTTGATTTATTTAGCGAAGGCAGTTTATATCATTCAAGATCTATAATTCACGAAAAAGAAGTAACATATTTGACCTGTTCTTGGTTTCTCTCCTGTCAGCTTCATGTTATACTGCAGCATATTAGCATTTTCTTGATTTTGCATTGAATAATATTTGAACTCACTAAAAGCCAGTTGTAATTGTTCTTATTCAAACACTGATGCTGCCAAGTTAATTTTTTTCAATTACAGATGGTTTATAACTAGTTTGGGATATCACTGGACAGCTGAATACTTTGACCCTAGGTTTTGGCACTTTAATTTTTCTTGGTTTGGGGCCACTGCCAGTGGTACTCAGGGCTTACTTCCAGCTCTGTGTAGAGGGTTCTCTCCCGGCAATGCTAAGGATACCATAGGCCACGCTGGGGATCAAATTGGGATTGGTACTCGACTATATTTCTTTCCCTACCCTATAGCATTTTATCAAAATAAAACCAAACTAAAATTGTGTCATATAGAAAAACTGAAATGTAATTTTGAAAAAGTTTTCTTCTGCTGTTGCTGAGGAATATATTTGTATTTTTGTTGAAAACAAATTATTCGGGCATATCTCAGATAAGTGTGAATTGTGTCTATTTAGAAACATTGCTATAAATTTTATAATATAAAAGTATGTATAGTATCAAGAAATTCACTAGGTAAGGTTAAGGGAAGAAAAGTACCTGCCATAGAGGTGGGGGATGCAGGTGGGGTGAAAGGGAAACTGGGGACATTTGGTGGTGGAAAATGTGCATTGGTGAAGGGATGGGTGTTGGAATATGATGTTACAGAAATTCAATCATGAACAACCTTGTAACTGTATCTCACTGTGATTTAATTCAAAATGTAAATAAAATTTAAATGGTTAATTTTTTTCAAAGCAAAGGTAAAACGATTCTGAAAGTTCAGGCAGTAATGTTTATCAACCACATGTATGTGTAAGCTAAAAAATTGGAAATTCTAAATGAAAATTCAAAAATACTACAAAAGCTATGGAAAATCACTTGTAACCCAAAGTTAATTAAGTGTTTAATATTGGTCTGTTTTTTTCTTAATTGAATCACTGTGAGATACACAATTACAAAGTTGTTCATGATTGAGTTTCAGTCATACAATATCCTAATACCCATCCCTTCACCAGTGTACATTTCCTATCACCAATGTCCCAGTTTCCCTCTCGCCAATGGCCCCTTCCCCCCACCCCAAGCCTGCCTCTAATGGTAGGGACATTTCTTCTCTCTCTCTCTTTTCTCTGTCTATCTGTCTGTCTTGTCTGTATTTCTCTCTATTTCTCTATCTCTCTCTTTCTTTCTCTCTCTCTCTCTCTCTCTCTCTCTCTCTCTCTCTCTCTCTCTTCCACACACACACACAGCACACACACACACACACACACACACCCTTTTGGGAATTATGGTTTGCAATACAGTTACCGAAAGGTTATCATGTATATCCATTTACCTACTTTCAGCACTCAGTTCTTGTCCAGACTGATTGTTTCCAACTATCATTGTCATAGTGGTCCCTTCTCTGTCCTAGCTGCCCACGGCACGGCGCCCCCACTCCATCCCTCAACCCCCACTTATGGTAAGCTTCCAACAGTGGGCCAGTTCTCCTGGCCCTTGTTTCTGCTGTCCTTGGGTATTAGTTTCATACCTTTAAAAATATACCACAAATGACTATAATCGTTTTAAGTCTGTCTCACTCCTTATGACTCATTTTACTCAGCATGATACTCTCCATCTCCATCCATTGATAAGCAAATCTCATGACTTCATTTTTCCTGGTGGCTGCGTCGTATTCCATTGTGTAGGTATATCATGATTTCTTTATTCAGTCATCTGGTCTTGGGCTCTCGGGTTGTTTCCAGATTCTGGCTATTGTGAATAGTGCTGTAATGAACATAGAAGTGCAGATGGCTTTTCTGCAGTGTGATTTTGGGTCCCCTGGGGTGTATTCCCCAGAAGTGGTATTGCTGGGTCAATTTCTAATTTTTTTGAGGAATGTCCATGTTACTTTCTAAAAAGACTGGATCAGTCGACATTCTCACCAACAATAAACGAGAGTCCCTTCCTCTCTGCATCTACATCAGCACTAGTTTTTATTCTTATGATGAGTGCCAGTCCCAAAAGCAGGAACATAATTTTCAGCCGTACCTGGCATTGTTGGGGACTGTTTGTGCATCTGGGCTCAGGGAACCCTCCGGTGCCAGGAATTGAACCTAGGTCAGCCATATGCACCTTAGCCTCTGTATTATTTTTCTGGCCCTAACTTAACCCTATCAGTAGCAATGTTTCAGTGAGGTAGCTAATTGATGAGGTGGGGGATGTGGTTGAGCACAAGAGCACTTGCCTTACAAGTGTGAGTTTCTGGGTTCAATTTCCATTGGAAACAAACAAACAAAAAAGATAGAAAGGCCTTTGATCATTTGCTAACAACCAAATTTATTCCACATAAAGGTCTAAATTTGTAATTTGGGTACCAGTTTTTTCCCTTCAGGTAAATAAAGTGGTCTTTTTATTTTTCTTGGTCTACTTCACTGTGGACTTCCTCCTTTGGTGACCCCTCACCAGCTGGTTGGCTCTCCGTATCTCACATGCGCGTCTCTGGTCTCCTCAGGTGAGAGAAGCTGCCCAGGCCCTGTTGCTTGCAGAGCTGAGAAGGATCGAGCAGGCGGGACGGAAGGAAGCCATTGATGCCTGGGCTCCGTACTTACCTCAGTACATGGACCACGTCATATCACGTAAGCCCTGGAGCTAGGAGGGAAAAGCCCCAAAGCTCACAGCTAGGCCCTGCTCCCCACTTACCAACCCAAGTCAGCTGGAAACCAGGGACTCACAAATTCTCTACCCTGTTCTCTGAATCCTGGCATCTTGGGTTGGTGTTTAAAAAAAGAAATAAGGAAAGAAAAGAAAACTGAGTTAGGTCCAGATATCACAGATTCATAGGCGACTGGATTCTCTATGACACTGACCCCTCTTCATCTGCCTCCTGTCTTTGATCCGAACATCTCTGCCGGGATGGGGGGGTGGGTCGGGTCTTTGAGAATGTGTGGCCCACCTGTTAGAGAATGATCTGTGGTACCCAGACCCAGAAGGCAAGTTGATGTTGGAGGTGTGACTCCCACCTAATAAAGAGCTAGTTGAGTGAGAGCAGTAAATGGGTATCTAGGGCCAGAGAGATATACAGCAGGTAAGCTCAATCCCTGGCATCCCATGTGGTCCCCCAAGCCCTGCCAAGTGTGATTCCTGAGTGCGGGGTAAGCCCTGAGCATTTGCTGGGTATGACTCCCCCCCCCCCCCCCCCACAAAAAATGAAAAGAAGAAAGGAAGGAAAAAAAGAGAGAGAAAGAAAGAAAGAGAGAGAGAAAGAGAGAAAGAAAAAGAAAATGAGTAGCTGGGGTGGAGGGGTGCAGGGAGATCCTCGTGAGGCTGGAGGAGATGCTTTACATCCTGGAGTTGGTGTCCGACTCTCCAGCACTGCTGTTGGGATTGACTTTCAAGCACAGAGCCAGAAAGAGCCCTCAAGGACCACTGGGTGTGGCTCAAAAACATTAAACAAACAAACAAACAAACAGAAAAAGGTGGAACCTGAAGTGTGGAATGGGTAGAATGAAAAATAATGCGAATTCGTTTTTTGCAGATTCCACATAAAGGTCTAAGAAAAACACGACGTTTAGTTAGTCCAGTGCTGTTGCTGGGTCTGAACAGTTTGGACAGGTGCCCTTGGTGACGGCTGTGAACAGGATGCTTTATTTTTTCCTGGGGAGAAAAGAATGAATTAGCTACAAGGCATGGGCACGATATAGAAACAGCCCACTCCTGGAAAGCCATGACAAAAGCATGGTGTCGCTTGAATTGAGGGCTCTTTCCGTGGGTCTGGAGAGGACAGAGTGTGAGCAAGATCCTGATGATGCCACCAGTACTTGAACTTTCTAGGCTTTTGCTAGGTACCTGGCGGTGTTGTTGCTTCATTGAACAGGTATTGTTTTCAGCACCCCCCCGCCCCCCACACACACATACACACACATCTTCAGCCCCATCCACACATTAAAAAGTGTCAGACTACAAAATTCATTCTCTTATCCGCTATTTTTTAAAATATATATATATATATATATATATATATATATATATTGCTTTTTTTCAGTATCCTTAGCTCTCAGATGGGTTTGGAGATGGAGGAATGAGGAGATGTTTGACTTAACTAATACTACTCTCAGACAGTGCCTTCCCAGCGGTAGTAAAATTCAGCAGCAGCAAAATGGAGCAGAAAAAGAACCATAAGATAATTGCCTAGTGGTTCTCAACATTGTTCAAATAAGCATAAACCTGATTGGTCAACTCTAAACCTTTCCATTTACGAAATTAATGTCCTTGGGATTTAGTTTTAGTATCAGGGTGTACTTTATACATTAACTAAATGCCGGCTTATTTACAATTTCACTTACTATAATTGTATTTTTAGCCAAAGAAGAGGCAAATGTGCTTTCTCTGAGTAACTTAAGACATCTCTTCCAAACACCCTTTGATAGGATATATTATTCTATTCTGGAACTTTTACAGGCAGTGCAAAATTAGTTTTAGTTTGCTTTCCTGGGAGGTTTCTGTTTTAATAAAAAGGATGTCAAACCAAAGGAGTAGGAATTCTGGATGTGTGAAAGAAGAAAGCCAACAACAAATGAGGCATCCTCAAGTAGGGCTGTTGAGCAGATTTGCTGTCCGGAGGGATCAAAGGTCACGGAGCCAGCTGGTGGGCAGCCCGGGCCGGTGTCAACGTGCTGATAGTGGAATTGCCTCTCTGGCTGTCATTAATGTTTCAGGAGATGATGGTTGGAGCAAGTCACCACATAAAAGCATTAGTTTAGAAACTTAAAACCCACTCCAGCATAGGAACCTTCTTCATCATTGAAATGGGTAAGATATTAAGAAAAATATTTTTTTTTTCTGGGAAGTAGAGCATTCATGAGATTTTGGGGGGGGGGGGGAGGATAATTTGTATTGTTTTTTAACATTTAAAAAAATGCACAATAGTTGCTGAAACAGTATTGGCAGTTCCTGATTTATGCCCGAGCTTAGGCTAGGCGCCCATTTGTTAAATATTTGCCTGAAATAGAGAAAATATTTTTACTCCCTGAGGACCAGAATGTCCCATTGTGCCAATGGACACGGGACCTCTCCTGAGAGGTGAGACTGTGAGGTTTCAAGTGGGCAGTAACTTTCTCTGCTTCATGTCAGAAAGTGACTGAACAGGCATGAGGATGACAATTCTAATCAACTGTTTACAGCAATGGGGTGCGTCTAGAATTTTCTTGAGAAAGCAGTGGGTTCGGCACCTTTGGTTTGCTTAGGACTGTTCAGATTAAAGGAGAAACTTTGAGACACATGCTTGTTCTCGAGCTGTTGCCTTTTCTCCCTGAAGTCTGAGAATCCTTATTGTCACTGCCTCAGAATTCACTTTAATTTATTATTGCTCAGGGATTCTGACAATCGAGTCAAAATCTCCAGGGAGGAAAAGGAGTAATAGTCTGATTTAACTGAAAAGCCGGTTCGCAAATTTTCATAAAAACTGGGTTCTAATGGAGGGTTTTGCTTCAGATAATTAAGCTCTGTCCTTGACACAGCTAGGAAGCAGTTTATCCTTTACACAATGCATTCGGTAATGGACACTTGCATACATAATGGCTGATAGAAAATTGGAGAAGTGTCTTGTTGTGATTTTCATACTTGTGGGATAGAATTTGGGTGACTAAAACCGCACACGTTCTTGTAACAGAGGCATATCTCGTGTTTCAAGTTACTGTTTCTCAGTGTGTTTTTCTAGTTGTGTGTTCAAAACTACGATTTAAAAAGGATTAATGTTATTCTGTGAAACTGTTGTCATATAATTTGGACACAGATAAAATATTAAGTTGTCTCAGACATAGTTGGAAAGGAAAATATTTAGCAGAACCCAATATTATATATTTCTTATTTTTGACATTCTACATGTACATTTTGATAATTGACTTTTTTTTATGAGGTCAAGCACCTGCTAGTTTATGAAATACACCCACTCTTGCTCCTCATTCCGGGCGGGGACCGTTGTGAGGTAAATGCTCTGGCTTCCTGATTTGCTTTGGCCTGCGATCCAGTGACCTTACAGGGCACGAGGTCACGAGTGTAATTATTTCTTGTACGTTGTATTCTGCTTGCTCACAGTAGCTCATCTCCTCTGATTTCAGAAACATTGAACACATAAAAGTCACCGCCATTATATAAATCAGAATCTCTTCTAAAGAGGATGCTGTTGTAATTTGATGCAGTTATGGGCCGATGTAGTATTAATTTGCAAATTTATCATCTCAGATATTGATAGAAGGATGTGTAACACATTGTGTTTAATACGTATTGATGTCATCAGAAAGAACAATCCTTTGTTCTTATCGAGTCCCTGCCTTTTTAGCTTCCTTTTGTGTTAAGGTTACCAGGGTTAGACTCGTCTTTTTATCCCCTTTGGAGGCAGAATAGAATTTCTTTGTTCAATGAAAGACACTCCTAGTAAATGTTTGGGGTTTGACTTTCAGCACGCCACACTGTAGTACCTATTTTAACCTGGAATTGAAGTCACTTTTCTGGTGATTATAAAGTAGTGGTCATTCTGAGCACAAATGTGGATGGACCAACAATTTTCCAGAAGGTAAGGTGGAACTCTTTCTTTGCTGGCAGCGGAAGAAAGTATTTGTAGCTGGTAAAAATAGTGTAAGTGGTGGAGCATTCTTTAGTAGGCAGATATTTTCAGAGTTTGCTGGTGGGGAGAGGCTGGGGGAAGGGGCAGGGAAGGGGTTGATAAATTCGATCCAAATGAGTCCTTACCCCTCCTCCTGGAAAGGCCGTAAACCATACAGCTTTTTCCTTTTTTTGTCACATGTACCTCAGTTACTTGGGACTCCCATTCTTCTGAGAAAGGACTTTTTCTGGATGACCAAAGGTTCAGACCACTAGCTGATCAGATCTTTTAAAAGCTTAAAACTATTTTTTGTTGAACTCTTTCAAAAACCTCCCTGGCTTTAGTTTTAGTTTGTTTCGAGTAATAGCCAGGAGCCAGTGTTTGCTATGTGGGCCTGTTCTGCAAAATTGTCACTGGCTTCTGGGAGACAGGGGCACTGTGTATGCGGACTCTTGCCTTTCAGGTTCCATTCTTCAGATACCCGCCCCCTCCCATTTCTTATTGTCTTGAGATTGTTGGCAGTTTTGTTACCTCTGGGCGGCTTCCCCAGAGCCCTTGCTTTCTACTTTGCTTTTCTCCCGACTTCCGGGAGTGTAAAAGTGGGGTGTCAGTCCCCTGGGACTGAAACGCATAATGAGAACACACTGGCCAAGAGACAGGCTCTCTGCTGGGAACAGCCCCTCAGCTCCCAGTCAGCTCTTTGTGGGCTCCTCACAACCTGTCCACTTGTCCCCTCCCTCAGGTCTTTTGTCCTAGTCTAGGGGTGTCTTAGCATTGGGGGTGGTGGTGGTACTAATTAAAATGATGGGTGGAGAGGAGGGGAAATCACTTGGCTGCCCATGAAGAGCTAGTCACTCTGAAGCCCCCCTCTGGTGATTAATGTCCGTATGAGCCGCTGAAAGGAGAGGCTGGGGTGTCCTCGGAAATCTGTGGGAGTTAGTGGCCTGGCAGTCGTCACAAAGTCAGCGCGGCTGACTGTGCATTAAGATGAGGAAGGGACAGAATCGCAGATGCGTGGTCTGCATCGAAACGAAT